GAAATCGTTAAGTAACATCCTTTCGGTTGTCGGTTAACAAATCTTTTGGTTAATTAACGCATCGTGAGTTTCGCGCCTACCTTATGAAGTCTACGACACCGACACCGAACGAGGACGTTCATTATTATTTTCTAGATTCGTTTCATTCGAATTTCACATGATGTATGAAATAACGTGAAAGAGAGAAAGAGAGAAAGAGAGAAAGAGAGAGAGAGTGAGAGAGAGAGAGAGAGAGAGAGATACGATATCGTATTGTTACTTTATCACTTTTGTGAGAAACAAAACGAAAATAATTCACGATAGATCGCGTGAAGTAGAATATTTAATATTTATACGTACATGTTGGATGTATTTTATGAAAATGATCGTGTTATATGTTTAATGATAGATAAAAATTGATAAAAGAAATTCAAATGATATATATATATATATATATATATATATATATATATATATATATATGACCATATTACAATTAATATATTAATTTTTTCTATTTATACGTATACACACGTTTGTATATTAATTTACGAATTAAAAATATGACTACGTTAAATTTGCAAAAATTTAGGTTTAATTTTCAACAAAGTTTCTGAATATTTCTGTGACTTTAAGTACATAAAAATTTTTCAAACGTAATATTCGTTGATATTTAATTAACTCAAATTGAATTAATTATATCGAAAGTATAAATGGAATGTTGCGAGTTTTTCTTTGATAAAATTGTTTCCTTTTTTCTATTTCTTTTTCTTTTCTTATTTCTTTTTCTATTTCTACATAGGATAACGTAACGTGAAATTTAACAATCTTCTTTCAAGCAGTTAATTAAATTAATTGTACATCTTGAAAGTACTCGCGAAGTAATTAATAATATATAATTATTATAATTTTGCGTACGAGTTTGAATGTATTAACGAGAAATCTTACAAACGAGAATCTCGTTATTTTCCATAAGAGGTGAGAAATTAACGAGCGATGGTCGTTAAAAAGATCGATAAACGTTCCACTTTTCACCCGAGTGATTTTACCTTTTAACTTGCGTTTAAAAAGATCAAGTTAAATATCTCGTCTTGTATTCAAATGATTATTAGAAAATGTGTGGGACGTATATATCTGTGTGGATGTACTTTTAAATTTAAACGAGTCGAGTACCGTCCTCGATATTTGCATCATGCAATGCGTAGGATGCTTTAATGTTTGCTCATTATTGATTAGAATAAAGAACACGTTTAATGAAATTATTATTCTTCTAACAATCTATATTGTTAAATCAAAATGAAAGTATCAATTTATACGTTGAAATTTCAAATTAATCGTTATCAATGTATCATGATTTTTGCATTTATATGAATTATAAGAAAAATAAAAATAATTCTTTTTCTTATAATCAACTTCGTAGATAAATTAAAATTAAAGTACGCGTCATATGTCACATTTAAAAGTTTTCATTTTAATTTTATAATCTTTTATGTGAATGACATAATGCAAAATATCTGACTAAGTATGAATAAGAAAAAAAAGTTAAGAGGATTCTACCAGATCATTATTTTTTATCACAATCAATTATCCAAATAAGTCTAAAAGAAGAGAAAGAAATGGAAAAAGAATTATATCAGTTCACATTCTGACAATCGAAAATTTATAGAGAATTTTGATTAATCATTGTTCGAAAAAATACAAATGTTAGATCAATGCGATAATATTGGATAGATCGATCGATTTGAATTTTTTCGAAGGTAGTTCAAAGGTCGATCGCTATTGGACAATAATCATTGCTTCTAATATCATATTAGAGAGTAAATTCGAAGAGCAATACACGAGCTATATCATGAACGTTGGCGTATCGACCTTTCACTCTTTTTCTCTGTCTCTCTTTCTATTTAATGACTTTCTCCAAGGACGATAAATTGGTCGATTCGACAGATAGACAAAAAGTCTATTGGGCTTGGCATACGATAATTGCAAATAGTATATACATAAAGTATTCGAGATACTTTTTTCGAACCGTTCGTCTTTAAAATCTTAAGTATAGAACGATAGGATCAATCGTACCTTTTCGATGTTATCGAGTTCATCTTGAAAGATTACGATAGACCGGACGTAACCAAGGCTTAGAACGTTTCACTTTCATATTCTTTTCGATTGATTGAAAAACGATTTCCTTTTTTTTCCTTTCTTCTGTTTTCTTGTTTTCTTCTAATCGTTACTGTCATTTAGAATCTCATTGCATTACTTTGATCAAAATACGTAAGATATACATAATTATTTACAGTTTTTCTCTCTCTCCCTCTCTCTCTCTCTCTCTCTCTTTCTCTCTCTAACATAGTGCTACTTTTAAAAGTCATATATATTTATTTTGTTTTTAAATTTTATTTTATTTTTTTCATTATAAAATAAATTGTTTCCTTATTATATCCATAAAATGAATGAATTTGTCTTAATGAATTTAATTTTCATGTTGTATGGATGATTTTTTTCTTTTTCTTTTTTCAAATATAAAAAACAATTGAATTGTAAAAGAATTAACATAACAATTATTATATTGAATATCGATCAATTAAACTTCAAATGATGTTCTTAATATTTAATTTTGATTCTTTTTCATTTTCTTTTTCTTTCTTTTTTCTTTTGCTTTCTTTTTTTTTTCTTTTTTCTTTTTCATATAACAAGAACAAAATAAATAAGAAATTTTCGAGCATCTTTCATGTCTGTTAAATTTAAAGATAAATGAATTATAAATCTATGGTATCGATTAAATTAATGAATGTCCTAATTTCTACCTTATCAATCATATTCAGAAATAAGAAACACGTGTATAAAAAGAAGTATCTTTCATAAGAAGCAACTGCATACATCTGTTAGTTAGTATCGTATCTGTCATGTTTAATCATTTCGATGTTTTAATTAATGCATGACAGTCTTAACGAATGAGGGATATACTATTGCAATAGGATGAACTCGTTTGATGCTTTCTCTACAAGTGTCGAAAATATATATATATATGTGTGTGTGTGTGTGTGTGTGTGTACCTCTCTCTCTCTCTCTCTGTGTGAGTGTGTGTATGTGTCGATGAAAATTTATCGAATTTTTTATCTTTTTCTTTCTTCTTATTTTATTTTATTTTATTTTTTTCTTTTTTTAATAAAGCGGCACGATCAAAGAATCTAACAAGGACAAAACTTGTCCTCGAGGAATGGACTTTCTAGTTTTTATATTTTTTCTTGCTTCATTGTTAACTGAATTTTTTTTTCAAAGATTAGAAACTTCGAGAGAGAGAAAGAGAGATAGAGAGAGAGAGAGAGAGAGAGAGAGAGAGAGAGAAAGAGAGAGAGATAGAGAAAGGTAGAGAGAGAGAGAATGTTTCGATATATTTGAACGCGAACTAGCTAATTAATATCGAGAACCACCGTCGTTATCATAAGCAATAATAATAATAATAACAATAATGACGACAATAGAAATACTAAGAAGAAAATGAGGTCTAATGAGCGTGAATAATCGCATGATTTTGGCGTGTAAATCGGGGAACTCGGCGAACTGTAACGACAATAAAGATTTCGCGCAGTCAGCGAAATAAAAAAAATAGAAAAAAAAAGGAGGGAAAGAGTGAGGGCAGGTCAGAGGAGTAAAGGAGGGAGAAGGGAGAATAGAACGTGACTCTCTACAAGCATTCCGATCATTTCTTTTCTTTTTTTTTTGTTTAGTTCTTTCTTTTTTATATTTTATATATTTTATTTTATAGGACAATAAAATAATAAAATAATTGTTAGCGAATGTTTTCAACGAGTCTTCCTTTGAAATGGAAAATGGTCTAGGAGTTATATGTATTTTTAAAATCGGAATGTGAAATTGTACGATGATGAACATAGTCGAATCATTAAATACTTGATAAAAAAAGAGAGAGAGAGAGAGAGAGAGAAAGAAAGAGAGAGTTAGACAAATATTTATGCCACGATACAGTTTGTGTCAAAGATATTTGATAAAAAGTGATAGAGATAATATTTGTTCAAATTAGAGCAATGAACTGTTATTTCAATATTTTATTTAAATAAAAATAATTGCATATCAATAATAAAAGAAAGAGAGATAGATAAATAGAATAAGAATCTCATGTTATGGTGTGTGCTTTATGTGTTTTGATAAGAATGTGACAAAAATAGAATATCTGTTGAATCTAAATATAGTACAGTATTCTAATAAAATTCTAAATAAAAATAATATTTGATATCTCAGATATCGATTAGAAGAGAAAGTGAGATAAATAAATAGGATAAAGTTCTCGCGTTATACACGTTTGATAAAAATGTAACAAAGAGAAAAAACATTTGTCAAAGTTAGATCAATAACCTACATAGTAAGTTTCAAAAAACACAAAGAAAAATTGTAATTAATATAATTTAATTACAAAAATAAATATAAATAATATAATTTAATTTATACAAAATAGAACATATTAATAAGAAAAAGATAGATAGATAAATTAGACACGATAACAATTTTATAGTATGTATAGTGTGTTATAAATATAAAATAAAGATTTTAATAAAAAATTTGGAAAGAAAAAGGGAAAACGTTTGTTCAAACTAATAATTTATAAGTTAGACATTGTTAATGCTATTAATAATATATAATTAATTAATTAATTAATATAAAATTAATTAATACAAAAGAAATAACGTGTGTCAGAGAACTAATGATACATAAGATACATAGAATAAGAATCTCGTCTTTCTCGTTTTCACTAACTCGACTGTTTTCACTTTCTGTTCAAAGTATTTCGAATCTATAAAGTCATTACTATATATATATATAGAGTCATTACTATGTGTATATATATATATATATATAATCTTTCTCTTTCTCTTTGAGATCATTTAAACAATGATATATTTTAGAAAAAAAAAAGAAAAACTGATCATCTACACAACTAGAGTACACGTATTAAGCGATTATCATTGTCACGATATATTTACATAAATACTTGTATACATTATTGACAGATTCGAGAGACTTAAGGGGCGAGATTTTAAATATAGATATATATCTATATCGTAGAGACTCTCTCAGTGGTCCAGAGAGACAGCCTCTAGACATGGATAAGCGTGCAGCTGTCGTTGCAGTTGCAGCCTCGAGCTTAGAGAAAGGCAATAACATCATGTGTATGTATGTATTATACGTACGTATGTATGTATCTATCTATCTATCTATCTATCTATCTATCTATTTATCTATGTATGTATGTATGTGTGTGCGTGTCTGTGTATTCACGTATATGTGTTAATACAAGCAGTTCGCTTGTCTTATGCCCGCCACACTGATTGGGAAATCATCGAGCGGCAAATGACATGAGAACGTGTGGGATTTTGCGAGCACCGCCCTCTCCTTCCTTGTATTATACTACCACGCATCCGTTTTTGTCGACTTTAAGTATGTATGTGCGTGTCTATATGTGTACCTTTTGCAAACTGAACAAGTAGGACACTTCCATTTTTTATTTTCTCAATTTTCTTTTTTTTCCGTTTTGGTATCGTTCAGAAAGTATAATGATTTTCTTGTCTCGAGATTTTCTATAGATCCATAGATCAGTTAGATCTTTTTCTTTTCTTTTTTTTTTCTTTTTTTTCTTCCTTTTTTCTTTGTTTTTCCCTTTCTTTCGTTTCTTACATCCCAAAGTTCCCACTCGAGTGAATTAATTATTACGATATTGATTTATTTCCGATACGCGTCATAAAAGTGATTTGAAATTAATTTTTTTTTTTTTTTTTTTCGTTTGTTTTATTAGATGTTAGGGATAACGTTGACAATTTTTTCTCGATAATATTTTTTTATTTGATCGTATTGACAATTTTGAAGTTTTATTTAAAATAAATTAAATCTAAAATAAATCATTATATTATCTTGCAGGATTTCGTTTAAGTGTTATATTATGTTCATTAATTTTCGAAGATATCGTTTGCCAACTTCGGAAATAGAAAATTGTGAAGATTCAAAGGTAGATGACATTGTTGGGGAAGATTATGCAACAAGATGAATAATGCACAACGGAAATTGTTTATTAACGTACGATAACTTGAAAAGTCATCGAAAATTCACGATTTATGACAACCGACAATATTCTCGTTCTAAGTTAACGACTTAATATTTAATAGAATTTCCTGTTAACCTACCGGATATTTTCCTTTGCAATTTTCTATTTCTTTTCTTTTTTCTTTTTTTTTCTAATTTGATCGAGTCACACGGATATGTTTAAAGAAAAAGAGTAGAAAAAATAAAAACAAAAAAAAAACAAAAAAATAAAAAAGAAAAGAAAATGATTTTTTAATTTAAACGAAAATTGTCTCTGTGGAAAAGAAAAGGATTACTAGCATTTTTTTCGTTTTTTTTTTTTTTTGGATTTTTGTTAAAGTTACTAAAAAAAAAAAAAACAGATTTAATTATCGACAAATTAATTAACGTAATGATTACTATTATTATGTGGTAAATCTTTTTTAAATTGAATAAATAAAGAATTAAATTATTAATCACACGAATAGACATTTGTTTGTGATTTGTAATGAATTAATAGAACAATAACGAGCCAAGTTAATTAACGTTCTCAATGTCCTTGTCATCTTTAATAATCTTTTTTCTTCCGTCTCCTAACTCATCAAACAAGATTTCACTTGTGATTGTATAGAAGAAAATATTACGTTACGTTTCGCAGAGAAAGTAAACTCCTAAGGCGATAAATTCAGTTCCACGGCGTAAATAAGGTAACTCTAAACTGTGGATTAGTTTTTGACGATGCAATCAAAACAAATATAAATACTGTGTGATTAGTTCAATGAAGAATGAATTTGTCGATCAATTGTAAAAAATATTTGTCAATTCATTGTGAAAAGTTTGTCAACTTTTATTAAAAAAAAAAAAAACTTCCCACGACACCAATATTATTAATAACTTTATACGGCAATGAAACAAAACAAACATTTTTTTTTGTTTCTTAATTAATTATTGCAACGATAACAAAAAAAAACAAGTGTGACAATCACTGTAAAAGTTTTTACAAGTGTAGTATGACTTAGAACAATAGGAAGATTTACGAGATAGGAAAAAAAAAAATGGGAAAAGAAAAAGATTCAAAATTCCAGTAAATGAACTTCTTTGTTTTACCATCGATTTCTCGAAGTGACAGTAATCTTGGCCGAGTGTCTAGCATTCGTATGTATAAACGGGAAAGCGAATTTAGTTTCGTAGTAAGCAAGTTTCTAATGCGAATGCAAAACGCGTATTTCGTGCGTTAAACATCCAACATGACTTACAGATCGTGGAAAGTAGCAATACGATCGTATTTTAACTGTTCGTCTGATTTTAATCGATTGATTTTTCACTCGTGTAACGTTACAAATGTACTTTATTAATTTACTTTACTTTACTTATTTACGACAGATTAGGATTTAGAAAGAAATATCGTAAATTTTAATTCGTTATGAGAGAAAGAGAGAGAGAGAGAGAGAGAGAGAGAGAGAGAGAGAGAGATATTCACAAATTCAATTAATATTTATAAACAAATTTAATTTTGTTTAATATATTTATATTATCTGAATTATGAATTATAAAGAAAAAGTCAATTAAAAATATATTATTGGCAATTAAAGACAGTAGAGAATGGAATTAGAGTGAAGGAATTGTATTCGAGAAAGTAATAGACTGACGTAAGTAACTGGGAATAAGTGCAAGTGCATTGTACGTTGCATATGCATGTCCCGTTGAAAAATATAATATAAATGAACGTTCAGCGTGCGTAACGAAAAAACTTTATAGATAGGTATATATCTATATAGGATATATATATGTATGTGTGTGTGTGTGTGTATATATATAATATATATATATATATATATATATATATATATATATATACATATATATATTAAAAGGAAAGAGAAAGGTCGATTTATCGCCTTTAAACCGGTAAATTGATGTGTGTTTGGAACGATAATATTAACGATTGAACATTGTAGAAAAAAAAATAGAAAGTTTATAAAATCGGAACTAATGGACTATAATATTTGTTTAAAATGTTTTATCATTCTTTTTGAAATAACAGATCTATGTATGTACGTGTATAGTGTCGATCAATAAGAATTGTTTGAACATTTTTTATATTTTATATGTAAATAATCGAAATTATATTTAATATTTTTTATTGAAACTTTTTTAAAATTATTTCTTGGACGACTTAATATAATTTGTCTTATTCCATTTCTTATTTCTTTCAAAACATTAATCGTTAGTTTTTACATACTTAGGAAGGATTAGTATTCAAGTCAGTATATGATATAGTTATATGTACTAGTATAACTTACATTATACTTAAAATTTCCATATATAATTTTTTATTTGAAACACGAAAATTCATATTTGTATATTAACGTTTATAAACTAAATAAATATGAATATATATATGTATACTTTTTTTTTTTTTTTTTTTTTAACGAGTCGACACACTTGAAACTGTTTTCGAAATGGATACGTAGAGAAAAGATTTTCACACTAGATTTGCACAAAGTTTAAACAAAAAAAAAGTCACACGCGAGAGTTTCTTTGTCACATCCACGAAAAGGGATAGAGGTATGAAAGAGTGAAAGAGATAGAGAGATAAAAGAAATAGAAAGAGAAAGAGAGAGAGAGAGAGAGAGAGAAAGAGAGAGAGAGAGAGAGAGAGAGAGTGAGGGTGAAATAAAAAGATAGGATAAAAAAGGTCAGAGAAGATGATATTTGATTAGCACGCGGAAGGATCAAGGATCACTTTTGAGAGATCGTCCTTGGTGCTTCACGAAAGCGTGACGTAGCGTAGAGGAGCACTCACCTGCGAGGATAAACAACAGCCACATGGTGAGTAAATGAGTGACGAGGCGGCGAGCGAATGTTCGGTGGAAGTGGATTTCTCGTAGCTTTATAGACCGAGGGGAAAGGCCGCGCCCGGAACAACGCTGCCAGGTGGGGTTGTTCACCACTTTTCCACGATCGTCTCGCTTCTACTTAAACTCTATTGCAGGATGCATGGAAACCAGACTACAATGGATTAACACGATGACGATATATATCGTCTTCTTTTATTATTATTCTGAATAGACTCTCTTGAATAATAGAGATGAAAAAAAGAAAAAGAAATAATCATAAATCTTAATATAGTTTATACGTATAATTATTTATTAGGGTTTTATATTTAATTATTTTGCTTTTTTTTTCTTCTTTTCTTTTCTCTTTTCTTCTTCTTTTTTTTTTATTTTTTTATTTTTAATTTTATTTTTATTTTTATTTTTCTTTTATTTTTTTTTTTATTTTTTTATTTTTATTTTTTTTATTTTTTTTTATTTTTTTTTATTTTTTACTATTCCGAATAAACTCTCATTGTTAATAGAAAGAGGGGGAAAATATCTTTTTTTCTTTTTTATTTTTTTTCCATTGATTTTTATTCAATTATTATTTATTTATTTATTTATTTGTTTCTTTAAATTATGTGTAATACGTCTTCTCTTTTATTCTTATTACGAATGGATTCTTTTCGATAATAGAAAAAGAAAAAATGATTATTTAACGTTTCGCGTTTTTTATTACATTTTTTTTTAAAACATTTTTTCCAACGAAGAGCAACTTATATGAAAACAATTTGTTCGCACTGAAGTATGATAGTTTTTGAATTTTTATCAATACTAATAGGAAAAAGATAATAAACAGCGACATTTTACTTCGTTGGCGAACAGAAATCTGAAGAAAAATTCGATAATAAGTGACGACTTTTTTAAGTTAGTGTATAGAGCGACATCATTAAAAATTTCCTCGTTGTTGCTTCAGTGGTGATAAGGGTTAAGGTTAACAGATTTCAATGAAAGCTACGACGTACGGACTTATCAACTCTTACCTCGTAACCGCAAGATTCGTTTTCTTAAATGTGATTACCTAGTCAAAGAGAATTCTAATCTATTTTCGAAATCATTTCAATTTGATCTCTAACGGATATATATATATATATATATATATATATATATATATATATATATTCATATTATATACAAATTTCTTGGTAAATCATTGAAGAATCTTCTTGGACTTGTAAAAAGATTCAAGTTCAAATTAATTTTCGATTTTATTTTTCTTTTCACTCTCTTCACTTTTTCTCCCCATTTGGAAAGTATACTTTTTATTCTATTTACTTATTTATTTATTTTTTTTTTTTCACAACGACGCTGATAAGAAAAAAAAAGATGACAGTTATATGACGTATAAAAAGGCTACTTTTCGATTTCACTTGCATTTTTATTTTCTTCTCTTTTCAAATGTATAATTATTTTTATTAACTTCTCTTTACAATGTTTTACATGTTACAGCGCGATCGCAGTGATAATTGTTGGAAAAATGTTTTATTAATTAAAATTTATTATCAAAGAGGTAATAATTTATATTTAAAATTAGTTAAGAAGTTTTGATCGATTTAAAAAGATTTGGGGGATTTTGTGGTTTAGAATGACGTGTATTTTGAAACCTCAAATTTTCCTATAGTAAATAGTAAGACAAGTAGGCAGGATGATGGTAATCGGAATAGATAGTTGGAATAGTTGTCGCGTATGAGGAGGAGAAGCAATGAACGTCGATCGAAAGGAAACCATCGAGAATTGGGATAGGTTGACTCTTGTCATAGTATAGTATAGTAATAGTATGGCGTTGAAGTGAACGCGGCAAACGGTGAATGTATGAAATTCGAGAGCAAACTACCGGGTCACGGTACTCTTGGTCCACCGCGAAGAAACGCGATTAGAGAGGTCGAGCATAATGACAAGGAGACGAGATCAAGAAGAGGAAATCTGACCGAAATGCGAAACGCATTTCGCGGCTAATGTCCCGTACTCCGTTGGTAATAATACACTGTAGATACTTTTTTGGTTTATTACTTTGTGCATTCGTTCGTTTTAGATGAGCCTTTTTTTTTTTTTTTTACTTTCGAAGTTATAGTAAAGTATATTAAAAAACAGAAAAGTGAAATTAATGAAATATTTTGGGTTGGCCAATATATAGAATACTTCGTTGTTTACTATTATGAAATATATATATTAAATTGTTCGTAATAATTAATTTCAGTATTTTCAATGCTAAAACATTTCAATTAACACAATATTGTTATATTGTTTATTTATATATAAAATAACACAAATTTCAATAATATTAATAACCATTTTGGCCTAATACATCGATTTTAATATTTTTCTTAATTTTCTTTTCAATCCTTCAACATATCTCCGTTCTAAAAATAAATCATGAAACATGATTTTTATTAAAAAAAAAAAAAAAAAAAAAAAAAAAAGAAAAACTGTCCCGATGGTAACATAATATTAAATATTTTTTTTTTTTTTACAAGACAAGTTAATGTTAAAAATAATGTTAAAAATAGAAAAACGCATTGCGTTTATTAACGAGCAATAATTCACAATGGCGATGAAAGAGTCCTTGGCTTAAAAACCATTCGTGAGAAATGCGTATCTACATGCATACATTGGCGTTTCGATCGATAATACGAAGGAAATCTAATCACCGGTCACGAGGATCATGACAGTCATGTTGGAAAGGTGCCGAAGAAATGAGAATTTGCTTTTCTTTTATTGTGGTCACGTGATCGTTTCAGTATCACTTTTCCCGATCTTTCATTGAATCTCGAATCTTTTTCCTGAATTCTTTTTCTTTTTATTTTGATTGAATGAAAGTCCTTTCTTTCGTTCTTTATGAACTCTGAGTGAAAGCTTAAAATGTTTAATTTTTCTTTCTCTCGTTTATTTTATTTTATTTTATTTTATTTTATTTAATTTTATTTTATTTAATTTTATTTTATTTTATTTTATTTTATTTTATTTTATTTTATTTTGTCTTTCTTTTTCTCCTCCCTTTTTTTTTTTCAAATTCCAACAAGGGAACGATAAGATTTTTCACACGCGCGTTGAACTAGCGTTTAAATACTTATATGAGTAATGTTTGATTGAAGTAACATTTTTTTAAAAAAACAATCTATCTTTCTCTTTCTCCTTCTTTCTTAAAGACGAAAGGAAACCAGGTGCAATTACCTTTTGTATTATTACATTGTAATTGAAAGTATCGATATATAGGAAATTATACTATTCAGAAATCTTCTATTGAAAGTTCAGAAAT